AATGAACTAAATAACTTTAGTGTACTTTTATGCTAGAAGCTTAAAAGCTTTTTAGAAATTAGAAAGTTATTGGATTATATTACCTCTATATCATCAATCTCATGATAAGAAATAAGAAGCAAAAAAATTGTAGAAAAGCTTTGAAAAATGAAAAACTTTTCTTTAAAAAAGCAGCAATAATGCATATGATAAATCTCCATTCTGTACTCTAATAGGTAAATAAGCTCAAATTTTTCTTAAAGAAATATAAGAATTACATAAGAAATATACAGTACAGTAACTTTAAAGGTTTCATCACTGAATCTTTAATGCTTCAGTATAGTGCATTAGATATTAGAAACATTCAAACAACACTCAACTAAAATATTTTGATAAAGATATGACATGATTTAAACATTAAGTTATATAAAACCCAATGGCTTATACATTTTGAAGTTTCACATCTGCATCGAGTCATCATCAATCTCAGTACAAATGTTTACATAGACACAAATTTTCTGGCCTTCCCATTTTATATGTTTGTGAATTGACATTTCATTAAGCATCAAAAACACACAACCTTCTAGCCATCCTTCTTGGGTTCATGAACTTTAACTTCAAAGTATTCAAGGCATCATTAGTGAATCCATTGTCTCCATCCATAGAATTTGACCGCGATCAAATTAATTAACTCTGGATAGGGCAGACAATAATCAATTATCTTTCAGCATTATCATTTTTAAGACTCTGCCTGGTCAATAACATCTTCCAGTCATCTTTACTCCTTGATCTTCCCTGCATGTTGTCAGCAAATAGAACATAACAGCTGTTTGGGCTGATCGTTTCTTTTTGATACTTACTCACAGAGCAAATTGTGTGCAGAGTCTTTTTTGCTTTAGGGAAACTATTTTGCAAAAAATGGGTAAATTTACGATTTCATGCATTAACAAATGACAGAAAAGTATGGAGAATTTTATAAACAAAAACAGGAAAACATCAATATATTTGGCGTTCAAGTCAGTCTCAAAAAAATACGATCTTTAATATGTATTTTATGGCTTTTCAAGTGCATGTATAATTGCTTTTCAATCGTTGACGGACTAACAAATCAAGCAACTATCTCACCTGTGAGAAGCGATATGTTCCTTTTTGTGGAAACTACGACATCCAACAATTGAACGATTGAAGTGTTGGTATTATAAAAGAAATGCCAAAAAAGATATCCATGTTCTGTGATATCGTGTTTGTTTTTGAAAAATTCTTTATAATTTACTATAGACACCAGGGGGAGGTCGAGAATATTATTTTTCTGCAAAGCGATCATTTCAGCGGAAATACGTCCTTTGGCCGCCATTTTTTTGCGTCTTTGCCCCAGTAAAGTTAGCCGCTCCAGTTATTATAGAACTTCATGCTCCGTACATTTGGTTCAAAATGGCTAATCGCCCCTCAAAGTGATTCAAATCTTGCAAAGTTCGCGTTAGTAGATAAGGTGCAGCTTTGTCACACTTTTGTCACGGAGCTCTTACCCGGCCAGTTAGTTTCCAGTCCCCGGAAATTGATCGGTGCGCGCGCATGTCAACCGGAAATAGGGTTTAATAAACATGGCATGGCATTGGATGGCGTGAAAATCGGAAATACGACAAAGCTGGAAGTTGCATGCTATTGACAAAGTAACATTAGATCCGCCTTATGTTTTATTGGTTAATAAACCGGATCTATGTCATTGTGTATTCATTCTTCAAACTATATAGTCGAACTATCGTCTTAAAAAATGTTATTTGCGTTGTTTATTGTTGCATTGCTTTTGGACGTTTTGAAAAAAAACAAAAAATATGGCACACATATTTAATCAGATATATGCAGACACTGTTGAGTTTGAAGAATTAGTCACAGCGATCTTATCAATTTGATTTTCGTCGATTTTATAAGTAAAAAGATTCAAGAGCTACGAAGAGCTGAAAAGGATGAAAGTAAAGCAGACCCTTGGACGGAGTATCAAAACGTTTTAGAAATGATGGCTGAGGAAGATCGGTGGTTCAATTTTGCAGCTCGTGCAGTCGAAACAATCAATCGCGAACATGTCTGGAATGGAATATGTGAAGCCTTTAAGTTTCTAAAGTACAGTGGACCTTCGAACTCTCACAAGACATATTTTGACAAACTGTTTAGTGTTACTTGGGTAGAACTAATGTTAATGTACACGGAGACAAAACGTCCTCCTTTTTATCAACATCTCTTTGACTATGTTGATTGTAGTTGTAAACTGAAATACAGATCAACTGTGTAATTGCTTTGACAAAAAAATAAAATATAAATTTCAATGTTATTACATTTTGACTTCAGTTGTTTTATGACCATGTCATTGTGAAAATGGGGATCGGTAGCAGCAAACGTGAAAATAGAAATGCAAAAAGGGATAAAAATCATAATCGTCAGAAAATGTTTCGCTTGGGTATAAGTTTCGGACGCAACGATCTCAATCTTGAGGGTCATTTGCAAGCAGGATACACAAGTAAAACTGTTAAAAATTATGGACCCGCCGCAATTAAACTTCCAACAGATAATGCGATAGAAGAAACACTGCCTGTAACTGAAAACATTGAACCCATCGATAATGAGTAGTTAAAAGAAATTGACATCTAATTGCAAAATTATTATCACGAGAACATTGTCATGAGTAACGTTGACCGGTACTTAGCCGGTGTATACTTCAATCCAAAACGCCCAGGAAGCTACGGAGGTGTTGAACGTTTGTACCGCGATGTAAAGGCAGAAGGAATATATGACATTAGTCGTGAAAGAATTAAAGAATGGCTCATGCAACAAGACGCATACTCTTTGCATAAACCTATTCGAAGAAAGTTTGAAAGAAATCGTGTCGTAGTGAGTGGTATTGACGACCAGTGGCAATTGGATCTTGCAGACATGCAATCTTTGCAAAAGTATAATGATGGTTATCGCTATCTTCTTATCTGTATTGATGTTTTTTCCAAATATGCATGGGCTGTTCCATTAAAAAAGAAAACAGGATCGTCGCTGGTAGAAGCTTTTAAAAAGATTTTGTCATCAGGACGTAAACCAACACACATTCAAACGGATCAAGGCTCGGAGTTTTTTAATCGAGACTTTAAGAAACTTTTGGCAGAAGAAAACGTTACCTTGTTTAATACATTTAACGAGACGAAGGCATCCATCGTTGAACGTTTGATACGTACACTGAAAACTAAAATGTGGCGCTACTTCACAGCAAACAAAACCATGAGATACATTGACATGCTTCCTGATCTACTGTATTCTTATAATCATAGCATGCATCGCAGCATTAAGGAAAAACCGATCAACGTTACAAGTGAAAATGAAGATAGAATTCGGCAAAATTTATATGGTGATAGCAAATTAAATAAACCTACGCATGTAAAATATAAGTTTGATATAGGTGACCAAGTACGAATAAGTAAAATAAAACGAAGGTTTGAGAAGGGGTATTTACCGAATTTTTCAAAAGAAATTTTCACTGTAAGTCAAAAATACCGCGCAATCCTCCTGTATACAGACTGAAAGATCATGAAGGGACGAACTTGAAGGAACATTTTATGAAAAAGAACTTCAAAAGTCATCAAGAAAGACGATGTTTATGAGATTGAAAAATACTTAAGAAACGTGGTAGAGGGCAATGTACAATATTTTGTAAAGTGGTCTGGCTACCCTAACAAATTTAATTCATGGGTACCAGCATCGGAAATACATATATAAAACGTAACCGTTTTCATGATTTTTCATTTCACATTATACCTTAAAGATGAGCGGGACACACTTCTATCTGACATTACCTAGTAATGCATCTCTGTATTTCCTGAGAATAAGATTTCAGGTTATCGCGTAAAACTACCTCACGTTGTGAATTTAAATGGTAATTGGGAAGTAGGATTGTATTCAATTACATATCCTCATACATGGTACACGTTGAAAAAAGGTTTGGATACACATATATGTAACTCACAAAACAGGTCTACCTACTCCGGTATTTGTCGACTATGGCCTGTATGAAAAAGCCTTCGACCTAGTAAAATCAGTTAATGAGACTCTTGACAAAGAAGTAAAGACAATATCAAATTGAGCTTTGACCCCCGAACAGAAAAATTAAAGTGCATGTAAGACAGGGTTACAAAATATCATTTAATCAACGAATGTCGGTCTTACTCGGTTTTGGCGGAAAAGACGTAGAGATTTTAAAAACAACCGAAAGCCCTTATGCTTCTGATTTGCACGGATCCGTCATGATGTATGTATATTGCAACATTGTACAACCGCAAGTTGTTGGAGACGTCAATGTAAAATTACTAAAGGCAGTTACCATTCAAGGAAAATATGGAGACATTGTTTCAAGAACATTCACTAATATCCAATACATACCTGTGCAAACAAAATCTTTTGAGGACATCGAAATTCTCTTAAGGGACGAGTTAGGAAACCCCATCGCATTTGAACGAGGGAAGTCGATAGTGACACTTCATTTCAGAAAGCAAGCTTCGTCTTATTTTACATAAGAAATATGACTCTAACAAATCGTTATGTTCAATATTATCTCAACCAACAACGAGGATACGGTTCATCACCAGTGTTTAAAGGAGCACCTTGGCAAAGAGGATATGGGCAAGTGGGTTATGGTCTTGGTGGCTTATTTCGCAGTTTAGCTAGGGCTGTAATACCTCTGGCAAAAAGCGGTGCAAAAGCTCTGGGTAAAATTGCTCTTAACACAGGAGCAAACGTTTTAGGCGATGTTATCTCGGGGAAAAGTGTGAAAGAGTCTGCAAAATCGCGAGTAAATCAGGCTGCTAAAGATGTGGGAAAATGGCTGTAAACAGAATGCAGCAGTTTGCTCAAACAGGAAGAGGAAAGTCTTCAAAGAAACGGTCAAGAAAACCAGCTAAAAAGAGAAAGGCGACGACTTCCATTGCCATTCACAGTTCAGCCAAGAGACGTAAAGCAGCTAAAGAAGCAGAGGACATTTTCGGCTAAATATGGATTTCGTTCATCCAAAATCTGCAGAATGTACAAAAACCGAACTTGATTTATTTTCTGTCCCACCAACACAAGTCAGTTTAGAAAAGGGGCATTGGATTGATCATCAACCTGTGTCCAGCGTATCTGAAAATGGACCAATTACATTTTTAGCGCCCGGCACTGAAGATTATGTTGACATGTCTAAGACAATATTGGTAGCTAGAGCGAAAGTAACAAAAGCCGATGGTGGGGATATCGATGATGACACTAAAGTTGGACCTGTAAACAATTTCTTGCACAGTTTGTTCAAGCAAGTTGACGTGTTTCTAAAAGGAAAGTTAGTTACACAAGCAACAGGAACATATCCATATCGTGCATATCTCGGTACACTTTTAAATTATGGTCCGTCAGCCAAACAATCCCAGCTCACCGCAGCGTTATTTTACAAAGATACTGCAGGTCAGATGGATAATGCAGATCCTGCTCACGCAAGTCCAAACAGGGGTTTGAAGACAAGAAATAAGTTTATCATGGGAAGTAAAATTGTTGATATGGCAGGTCCTATCTTTTGCGATGTTTTCTTTGGTGAACGTTACTTACTTAGCTATGTTGATTTGAAAGTGGTCATGAACCGTACCAGTGACGAATTTGTCTTAATGTCATCGGTGGACGGTGCAGCCTTTAGAGTGAAACTGATAGATGCATACCTTAAAGTTCGTAAAGTCAAAGTGAATCCTAGTATATCTCTGGCTCACGAAGTTGCCCTGAAAAAGGTCCAGCCATTTACCCTGTAAAGTGTGGACTGTAAAAGTTTTATCATTCCTTCTGGAAACCCTTCGCTGCAAAAAGATAACCTTTTCAATGGTTTAGTGCCTAAATCGTTTGTTTTCGGTCTTGTTGAAAGTGCGTCATTCAACGGAGCTTATAAAAAGAACCCATTCAATTTCCAACATTTCAACATTTCATCGTTAGGCATTTCAATAAATGGTGAATCTGTACCATTTAAACCAATCAATTTGTCCTTTGGTGCAAATCCGAGATTTATAGAAGCATTTCTATCGCAGTTTTCTGGCACTGGGAAAATGTATTACGACACAGGCAATGGCATTACGCGTGAAGATTTTCCAAACGGTTTTGCCCTGTTCGGCGCGGACTTTACCCCCGATATGTGCAGCGCGTCCGAACATTTTAACACGGTGCAAAAAGGAAACCTGGCCATTGACTTACAATTCTCGACACCGCCAACTCATGCAGTTAGCTTTGTGTGCTATGGAGAGTTTGAGAATATAATACAAATCGATGGAGAGAGAAATGTCGTTTATGACTACATTGGATAAATGAACACCTCACAAATATGGACCGCTTTGAAATCCGATCCGGTAACAGGAAAAAATTCTCGGCGTTTTCCAGCCGACCGTTTGCTAAAGAAATCGAAAGCTACCCAAAGGATTTATCGCAAACACGGATGTAAGCGGAAAACCGGGGACCCATTGGGTTGCCTTTTACTTTCCTTCAGAAGAAAAAGCCGAATTCTTCGATAGCTATGGACAACCACCAGGGCGATATCATAAGTTCTTTAGAGATTATTTGAAACATTATGATTGGGGTTTAATAAACGTCAATTGCAAAGTATCTGGACGGATGTATGTGGACAATATTGTATATTTTACCTCAGCCATAGAGTGCGAGGATATAGCATGAATAAGATTGTAAACATGTTTGATGGTAATACTGTTGAGAACGATAACAAGGTATCAAGTTTCGTTAGCAGACATTTTCATATAGAAACTAGTGTAACCCTAAACGATAGCATTCAGTCAAGTATAAAATTTGTTGTAAAAGCTTGAGCCGTTTATTATCAATAAAATTTCTTTGTGTGAACTAATTGCCTGTGCTTTCTATTTGCACTTTCTAATGATAACAGTCAGGAAATTGATATCAACTGCTCAATTTATTTAAACAAAACAAATCTTTACATGTCAAATTTTAATAGTCTATCCAACGTAAACGAGTTTTCTTTAGTGTAGGGGTGGCTTTAGGTGTTGTCATTTTCGTTCTTGAGCCTCTGTGGTGGGCTATTCCGTCTTCTTCATTGGGCGAAGTTTCCATTTGAGCTTCTTCCCATCTTACATCGTTCCGAACCAAATCAAGGAATGTTTATTTTTGATAAAACGAAAGAAAACCTGTAGGATTGAAATTCTTTCTCCCTCTTACGGCGTCGCTGATGAGGTCTGATATATTTGATTGAGGAATAATAACACCGTCAAGTTTGACTTGTCCTGAATCATCCCAAGTTATTATATCTGGTTTTGTTTTGCGCGGTATTGCTGTTGCACGACGCATCGTCATCGCTTTGTACACTGGTTGTTGACGGATTACAGCTTTCGTTGCGGTTGTACCGCTTCCGTCCGCGGCGTATGGGTATCTGAATATCTTTTGTTTTGCTCAAAGTTTGTGTTGAAAAGTTTTTGCCTTTGATCGTCACTTAAACCGTCTTGGTGAAGGATGTGCAAGAGTTGAGTATCTTTTTGCATCATGTTCATCGTAATTGGCGAAACTTCAAATTTTGCTTTTGTTCATATTTATTATAAACGTCTTCAGGTACTAAAATCATTCGCTTGGCATGCTTCATTATTTCAGCAAACTCCTAGTACGTTCAAAACCGGCGGTAGGAAGGCGCTCAGTAGATTGCCTCCTTTTTGATTTAAAAGTTTTTTCTTTTTAGCTCTTGAAATTCTCTTGTTCGCTAAGGCTCTGAGATGTTTCTTATACCTCAACAAGCGTCGTTTTTGACTCGCAGATATCGGTACAGTTCCTTTTAACATTAACTGCGCATTCACAAATGCACAACATGACATCAGATGGTCCATGTTCGATGATAACCTTTCGAATTTTCGGCTTAGATTTTGCAAGTACTTGCAGGTACGGAAGATTGCTCCTAATTCGTTTAGACATGATGTTTAAATGATTGTTGATGTCGATGCTTATCACTTATGTACATAGACAATCTGCTTTTCACCGGGCAAGATATTTGTTCTGGCATATTGTCAGATGTGAGTTGATGCAAATCGAGCAAAAGATAACCGTAAGGCGGCATGTATCTTGAAATGACTCCAAAGGTAATTCGTTTTCTTTGGGTACATTTGGCGTGCCAATGTTGCGATACCTAGCGAATCTCTGGGGTTTTTAAAAATGATCATGTAGTGGGAATTTAAGCTGATTGTTCGGGATTGTTTACCAGGCGGAAATAAATTTTGTGTTAGATACATGACAGAGACGCCACGGTGACCCGCGGGTAAATAAATCGGACATTCGTTGATCGCTAGAACATTCTGACATCAAATCGTCAACGACCACTAAAGAGTTTTGACAACCTTCCAGAATATCAAATAAGTTGTCCGGGAATCCTTCGACGAAGCAAATGTTTGGAATTTTTGATTCCATTTCACCAAATTCACTTTGCCGTTCGCCGTAACAGTAAATAATTTTATTCGGAACAGGATAAAAAAGTTCGTTTAAATTATAAAGCATCGACCTAACCAAATAGCTTTTGCCCGACTGACTTTGACCACACACATAAAAGTTGGCAGGTGTTCTAAAACGTACGTCCATTGTCTCGCAAATAAAAGCAAACATGTTCTGCTTTCACTTTTATAACCACTCGCTAGTAAACATTTTGACATATTCAAAGAAAGACGGAATGATTCCACTAGCTTGAATGGGGAGGTATTTGTAAAATGGTGAACAAAGTGCACACAATAAGAATACATTGGACAATGAACAATTTTTATTAAATATTTTTCTAATTATCTACATGAATCAAACAACAAAAATCTCTTTTGATTACATATGAACACATCATACTTTAGCAGATATTTATGACAAAAAATTTTAAAAAGCACTTGAGGGTTTACTTTAAAATCCTCACAAGCATAGGCATGTCTTTTAATCTTTCATTCATTTTGTAACTACATTCATAGTTCGTGACATTCATAGTTCACAAGAGTTGTTTGTAACTTTTCCAATTTTCCATAATGAATTCCTTGCTGTCTGTATGTTTTTTCCTTATGGCTTACTCATAAGACGAATAAAGGTTTAAACTATTGTATATAAATTATACCAAGTTGCTATCATAAGGCAGGGGGGGAGGGAGTTTAAATGAGCAATACCCATAAATGAATACATGATAACAACTTGGTATAATTTATACACAATAGTTTAAACCTTTATTCCTCTTATGAGCAGATGAGCAATGCTCATTGATGCTCATAATTACTTATGAGCACTTGCTCAAATGCTCATAACTGCTTCAACACACTTGCTCATTTGCCCACAAATGCACATTGCTACATAAAATGTCTCATTTCTAAAAAAGCAGTGCCGGCAAAATGAGCTGCAGATATTGTGGAAAAGTATTTAATCGAGCTTTCAACTTACGCAGACACGAAAAAGAATACTGTCCACTAAGGGATGAGGAAAAATTGTCTCAATTTGAAGATAATGTTTCTACAAGTTCAACAGATGATTCTGAAAGTTCAATGTCAATAGAAAATGAGGCTGAAACTGGAGAGAAAACTGATCCTTGGATACCTTTGATAGAAGAAGCAAGGGAAAGAAGTAATGTAGATTTCGATGAGATGAAGGAAAGCCTTGTGAACAGTGGTCTGGATGAGCAGACAGCTGAAAATCAAGCATATTCTAACATTCTACCAAAACTTCAAAAAGAATTGGAAAGTATTTATATGCAACGTCTTATGTGGATAAACCAACTGAAAAAAGATCCCATCCACAGAAAAATAATGCATACAAAGAAAGGGTTTATAGAAAATGACGACTTTGATCCACAGGAAGCTATGGAAGCAGCTATTGATAAGAGAAAGTTCTCATCAACAGACTTTTAAAAGAGTACAGCTTTGGTGAGAATGCCAATGATGAAGAAGATTAACTTTGTTAGATGAATTCGTTTCATAATAACTTGTATCTTATTTTGAAGTGACGTTGTTCAATAAAATCTTTTCATTTTCAGTTTAGTGTGAAAATTACTTTAATATTGCATAGCTGCAAAATCCTCTGCTATTGTTTCTATCTCTATCTGTTTAATGGAAACATGCCGAGAAAGCCTCTTAGAGCTATACATACTGCGCGAAGCTCGATGTTTTGAAATATTTTGCGCCTTCATAAGATGAAAAGGAAATTCCCTAAAGTGATGATGCATGAAATAGCTCGAATAATATTACGCTTACGGCACACTTCTACCTATATACGCGACTTTCGGCAGTAAACCGGTTATTTTAAGCCTGAAACAACTAAAATTGTTGTGCCACATCGCATCTTGAATGCATAAGTTAATAAATTTAAACCACTATAGGCAGATAGGCTTGTGGTATCAATTACTGCAATATCAATATCAAACGCGTTGCACTTTTATCAGTTGATTGCCCTAACTTCTTGGTTTAAATTCTCCTAATACGATCTCTAGCAACCAGTAAAACAAACGCATACTAAAATAAAATAATGTTTGTAAATCTAAGAAGGACAGAGTTAAAAGCTAGGATACTGCACAGATCTTACCCACGCCACATTATTCAAGGTCATACTATTCAATGGTAATTTATAATTTACATTTGCGAGATGGCAACGAAGGTCACATCTCAAGCGCATGTGTAGTGTATCTCAACCACTTACGAAACAGAGAGCCTTTGTGAAGATGCAATATCCAAACATGCAATCGAAGGATGATCTCGCCATAAGCGTCGTTTTATACCTTCAGTAAGTACCGTTTGTCTTTTTTCTGTTCCTTAGAGTGTTTGTATTAACTTTAACAGAGGCGTCGATTTTATTTTTTAGAAAAATGTGATCACTGTGATGATTATCTTGTAAAACCCTCGTGTGGGCATGTATCGTCTCATAAAAGACCTTATCGAGTAAGTTTTAATTCGTTTGTAGTTGTCGTAAAATGTTTTTTTCTATGTAATATTACATCGCTTACGTATATGTATACAGAAGTGCTAACATGTAAGCAGTAAATTCATACATGTTTCTTATATTTCATTTAGAACAATGTGTAATGGTTTGACCTTACGAATCGAACAGGAATAAATAAAAATATATATTTACAAAGCTTAACGACTCGTGTTTCAAGTTTGTTGTTTGACCTTACGAATCGAACAGGAATAAATAATATATATTTAAAGCTTAACGACTCGCGTTTCAAGTTTGTTCTTCTTATCCGAAACAAATATTTTACGCCAGTCGTTACAAGTGTATTTTAGTATCTCAAGTCCATTAACGGGTGGCTTGACATCTTCAATGCTTTTCATAAAATCTTTGATCACAATCTCTTCGGACACATTTTCCAAGGCATCATCAAAATGCAACAACATACGCACGTCATGCTCCATCATGAGACAGTCATGCTCGCGTTGAGAGTGGTGATCAATCATGCATCCATTGCAGTTCTTATTTACTTCAGCGTTTATCATTGCAGCAATTTCTTCAGCATAGCAGTCTAAAAGTTTATTTTCTAACAAACTTTGACGTACAGTTATTTCATTCTTTTCTGACTCCAAAAGCAATTTGTTCATTCTTAATGCCAGATCAATGTCTACATTCAATTCCATTTGTTTCAAGAGATAGAATGTAAACCTTTCGATAAAGTATAAGCTATAAAATGCAATTACCTCGTTTTCTACCGTTTTTAGCTTGAAAAGGAAACGGATCTAATGTTACTTTGTCAGTAGCATGCAACTTCCAGCGTATTTCCGATTTTCACGCCATCCAAAGCCATGCCATGTTTATTAAACCCTATTTCCGGTTGACATGCGCGCGCACCGATCAATTTCAGGGGACTGGAAACTAACTGGCACGGGTAGAGTGACAAAGTGTGACAAAGTGCACCTTATCTACTCGCGTTCGATCTATCTCAAGCAAGAAAATGGTGGTCAAATCAATCAAAAGAGTTCTAGAGCGATAGAACGATAGAATGAGGTGAAGAATGAAGAGTACTTATTACAACACACGAAAAAAATTTCAAGGCTGGTACGAGAGTTTTGTTAAACGGAAGAATTGAAGAAGTTTTTCTTAACGAAGAAAAATCTGAATGTGGTGTGATTGGTGGAATTTTGTTTAACGAATGCGCACGAAAATATTTTGCAAAGGTTGTGCTGACAGCACTCACGAAACAAGCAACTACTTCCATGTGCTTGAACGGTTTAATGTATGGATGGAAAGAATAAAGATAAATTCAGTTATGATGACGTTTTGTGGTGTATAAGTTTGGTGATCAAACGTTGATTTCAATTCATGTCATCATGGTCATTGTTTCATACATTTGTATGAACTGCTATTGAAACATAGCTTGCATTATGTTTTTAGGATGGGTATACATTACCTTACTTCCCCAATCATGGTATTCTTGCAGCAAGGCATCAGAAATCTTGCCATAGTGCTCAAGCAAGAAATGTCATTTGCATTGACCAATATGGTTTATTTACTAGCTTAGATATAGTCACTGAATGATTTATGATTTATCAACCTTAGCATTTTCTTGATACATAAGGTCATTGCATGCTCATCTTTTTAAATCAATATTTCCTCTTTAAATACTAGCTTCATGGTAAATTCTAAATTTTCTTGCAAAGTTCATGTTTAATTACCACCTACCCTCTTTCTTTGTGATCTTTGTATGTTTCATTATGATGCTGATGATGATGATAACCAAAACTTGCAGTGTATTTTTTCAATTAGGCCGGCAACATCAGAAACAAATTCTGTTTTGTGAGTGTGAAAAAGATTCAATAACGTTAATAAGATTGAAACTTTGGCCTGACAGTGCTACTCGTCCCTCTTTAGCTTTTCATTTTAAGATGATGGAGTTGGCTGAAACCTCACTTCTTGAATGTCATGTTTCACTTCGAAAATTCTGCGATGCTCTAAAATATGGACAAAGTGCTCCTCTTTACCATTGTGGGTAAGTATTCATTTCAACTGTGTAAAAAGAAATACATGTGTACCTACATTCTGTGTTGCCAACAAGCGGGTACTGCCCCCCTCCCAATATTTCTCCCACATTGGTCTTTATTTATAGAACTTGAAAAGGTGTGTGATATCAAACTGTGCATTTTATGTTTAAGGGTCATTTTGGGAGTGTTTCCCCATCTCTCCCCCCCCAAAAAAATCCTGTTCCATGATATAGATACCCCAGAGCAGTGCAACAGCTTGTTAAAAGTTTGTAACAATTACTAGTTACCTACCTAAAACATAGAAAAACTTGGTTTTCTTGAACTGTAACCTTAATCTTTCATAGAAAGGCACATTACAAAAGATTAAATATTTCACTCTGCTCCTGCTCTTGTTGTGCATGTATATATTGTTGTAATTGTTTTATTTCATTATAGATTAAGAACATGTATTCAACACTGAACAGCAACTCATTTGATGAGTTTCGGTTTGTAGTATAAATTAATTTCATAAACTATAATTATTGTGTAAACTTAGATGCGAAAAGTACTGTAGAAAGACTGAGGGATGTGATATTGAAGTCTCATGATTGCTCTGGTAATAGTGTATGTTTGAATTTTTAGTGGTTTCTTTTTTCGCATGTATCATAGGCATTTGTTGACAAATGGTTACCCGCTTGTAAAGCAACATGTCCCAGGGAGATATTTGTGCCCTCTTTATCCCAAAGTACGAAATTTATAATTGTGCATCTCTTGCAATTAGTTCAAAGCTAGCTTTCGTATTCTAAAAATTTAATAGACATTTGTTCTGCGGAGTTGTACACATTTAGCTATTAAACACAATATTTCAAAACAGTTGTAGGGAAGTTGTTAATGTCTTCATTCTAAAAGCATCATTGTTATTTATTTCATCTATTGATAGCCTGATGAAGCTGGTACTCTGATTGAATCAATGGATGCTTGTTTTGGTCTTGTGAGAAAAAAGACTTCAGGTAAGGCTCAGTTCATGTCAAGGCATAATTCCATTTTGTTCCACAATCAAGAAGTTGATTCATTTGTTGATAACTACACTTCAAGTGCCAAACAAGCTAAAACTGTAAGTATTGGGAAATATGCTTGAATTTCAGAAATTGTCTTCACTCGAGTTTGCTAATTTATGTACGCATGAATATTACGAAGCCTTATACTGTTAAGGATTGTCATGAGTTTAAGGCAGGTGAAGTAAATGACATGATTCGATCAAAAGGTAGAAACAAATTATTCGATGAGAAAGGTGTTTTTGGTGGTGTCTGCCGGCATGATTACCCAAAAGGATTTATGAATATCAAACATGGAAAAAGGTAATTTTTGAAGTCATTAACATATTTTCATTAATGTTTAAGGCAATCGTTATCCACTTACCATGACCGTACCACAATGACCTACAGCTTATAGTCTGGCTATCTAAGCATCATTTATTACAAACCTGCTTTCATGTGAGCATACTAGCCCCACTCCATCCTCCCCACCCCATCTTTGTTTCAAATATTGCAATGATTTATAGCATGCAAGATTGTCTAACCCCATTAGAGTTGTCTGTTAATAAAAAGTAGAAAGTCTGGTAACAGTCATGACATACCTTCATCATGCAAAGAAGTGATCTTTTGTGTACCATTTAAATTCTTGCCAAGCGGCAGACTCTTTCTGTTGTATAGCTTTAGTCATTCCCCAAAGTTATAGTTAAATTTTTAATAAATGAAGAAATTAATTCTTCTTTTATAATTGGAGGATTGTACACAAATAAATTGTCTCCACTTTCATTTGCATAATGTAAAGAACAATACATAACAATTCCCTTTTTCAATCACCAACAATTTCACTATCAATTTTGTCACAATTTATAAACATTTTGTTGATTCCAACTGTCTCATCAGGAAGATATGGACAATGAAATAATTTTATTTTTTTTACAAATTCACGTTTCTTAAATTCAAATCCAGAGTCAAATGTATATTTTATTACTTCTTTGTCAAACCCCAACATAAAACTTAATTTTTTTGAAAAATTTAATTTAAATTCAATTGTATCATTTCCTGAAGGATAATCAGCATATTGTATTTTGCCTATATTAGGTTTTATCCATATATAATTTTTAAAATCATATTTTTACCCTGATTAGAATAAGATTGTTTCCCTTGAACATAGTAACAAGTATATCCATTTGTTAAAATTATATTTTTTTACTATTTCTATTCTTAAAAAATATTATAAAATATTAAAAAATATTAAAATATTCTTAAAAAATATAAAATAAATATTATAAAATATTAAAATATTTTATAATAAACATTATAAAATATTACAATGTTATGTATTTTTTATTATTTAATGCATCAATTTGACCAGGTAATGTTGTAGCAAAATGATTAATATAGTTTTTTTTAACAATTTTTATTATTAACTTTACTAATTAATGTAATATTTTTCATTTTGAAACCTTTTTTAATTCTTCACAATAAAATTTCCCTTGAATTTCTTCACCGTTGTTATCACAAAGCTTATACGTAACAAGATCCGTCAACAAAACTTTATTTATATGAAAAGTCTCATTAACCCACTGTCTTAAATTTTCCTTTTCAAAAATATAATTTTTAATTCTTGAAATTTGCACTTTATCATTTTTCTTTAATATACTTAAATTTTTATCTCTTTTTTTGTTCATAATATTAGATAATCTTTTGATGTAATTTTTTTCCACCTAAATAGACATCATATGGTAAAAGATTGTCAGAAATTAATCCACGATAAGGATATTCGTTATATCTTTCCACAATTAAATGTAAGTATTTTCATAAGTAAATTTTTTTTCCGTTTCTTGTTTTTATTGTTTGAATAAATCTATCAGCATGAGTAGCTTTAAGTTCACGATTATAAGTATTATAATTTGTAAAATTATATTTTTTTGACAATTCTTTTCGAATCCCTTGAAATTCAGTTCCCTCGTGTGAAACTATTTCTTTAGGAAATTCATTTTCTTTCAATACAATATCTTCAAATTTTTCCATAACATTTTTACTAGATTTATTTTGCAATAACTGAACAAAACCATATCTTGAATAAACATCAACTACAAATAACAAATAACACAAATTATCATTATATCTTGCCAAATCTTTCATTTCAGCTAAATCAATAGTCCATAAATAATTTTTTTTCATACATTTATATTTAAACGATTGTAATATTTTTATACAAATTATGTATATTTTGTTTATTATCTTCTAAATGTTCACCTTTTAATAATCTTGCAGCTCTTATTATAAAGTCATTGTTAATTAAATTATAAGTTTTCTTCTTCGTTCTCCTCATCATCATCATTCACAAACGTTGGAGGATGATAAAAATCAAGCTTTGAAAAAAAATATATCATTATATGTTCTTTCAATTTTATCACTTCCATATTTTTTATAAAATTCTATAAAATCATATTTCTTTCCAATTTTTCCTCTAAAATTTCATTCATAAATTCACTATAAGCAATGCAATCATATATTGGAATATCCAATTTACTAGAAAATTCTTTCAATGCATAAATAGCTTAAATGTCACTACTATTTTCAATATCTTTTTGTCTTTTTTTACTTGGTACAGTTTTTGGCATTTCTTTTTTACTTTTTCTTCTTTAGCTTCCTTTCCTTTGATTTTTTCTTTTCTTCTTCACTTTTTAATAAATCACGACAAAATCCAACAAATTGTCGCAATTTTTGTGATATAGTTTTTAAATCATCATCTTTTCTGAAATATATTTTGTAAAATTCATCCGTCCAATCAATCATTGCAATATCATTTAGGTCAGTGGGTTTGAAACAATCATCCTCCTCCTCATCATCATCATTAACATAAACAGTTCCACTTCCATCCACAACATGGTATGATTTTTGTGTTTTCAAACTTAATTTATTATCTGAATCACGTTCAAAGATAACGCGTTTCTCATTAGATGAAAACAAAACTTCATATAAAATTTCATTTTCATCTTTATTTGCAATCTTATTCAACACATTTGCCAATCTTTCACATGTTTGCAAATTCATTTGCAACTCATCTTTACAGCACATTCCATCGTTGTATGGAGAGTAAACAGATTTTGAAAAAAAAACATAGATTACTAAAGCGATTAAAACTGCATACTTGATTTGAAACGATTGCTTTTCCATTAGAATAACTTTGTAAAACTGTTACCAAATCCCAAATTTACTTTTTCTGTAAATGGTATACTCTAGTATAAGGGGTAATGGGTTAACAATTGACAATGTCTATATTTTTTAGTTAATCCTTTAACCTGCAATGTGCTTTACCCATTTTCTGACAAATGCCACATGACTTTACTTATCATTGGGGTAGCTACGAAGTTTTATTAAACAATCCACAAATAAAATTGGCAAAGAACGAAAATGGGCTTAATTAATTGATTCAAAATTAGAGATTTTTGAGACTTTTGTGAGCCTCAAAACTTTGAGTATTCCAGGAAATTGTTTAAGTATTTTGGTCTGGTATCTGAATGTCATGCAAAATCACAAGTTGGCATAAATGCAATGAGCAAAGGCAATATATAGTGGAGACAATAGACGTGGTGTTGAAATAGCGTGAGAAAAACAACAAAACGTAAACAAGAACATTTGGAAATTTTTTTACTAGTTTCCCCCGATAGTTGTTTCTTAAAATTCAAACTACACTTGTGCGTAATATAAGAATACAAATACTTTAGGTGCATACAATTATTGGTAACAACATGAACATGCTATACAAAAAAAAGTTTAACACAGTACAGGAAATCCTGTTTAGCAAGGCATTCCAGAACAGACGTGTGAAAACCGAAAGGTATGCTTATTTGGGATGTAAAAATTTTGGTTTTTAACCTTAAAGTTCCTAATTCTTTGTCCTGGTAACAGATTAGGTTTAATCCAATAATGTTTGTTTTCTTGGTTTTAATGAGTTTATAAGTTAGTTCTGAGCTCGTCTTGTCTAACCAATATCCCCAAATCTTATGTTCAGTAGACAATGATTCAATGGCTTCAGCTGCACCAGGATAATAGAAGAGCCAATACGGTTCATCAGAGTCAGTATAAACAGGAAGAATGTATACTTCGTGTGTTCGACTGCTTTTACAGTTGGCAACAAGAGTCGCAAAGGCATCAGGTTTGAAAAAATTTTTAAGTTTCCCAGTCAACAAATCGAGCTCTGACTTTGCCAAATCTGTATCAGTTACCACCAAATCGCATTCTTCAATCAGCTTGTTACGTATCAAGCACATTGATACTTTGGCATCTTCGAAAACAACTTTCTTCAACACAGATCGGTAACATTCTCTTGATCAGAATATTTACGATTCTCTGTCAAAACATTCTGTGCATTTTTCATAATATTGGAAATCTGTTTAATATCATACTGACTGGGTTTTTTAAATGTAATACCCTTCTGGCAAACCAGTAACAGTAAATCCTCCTTTTAAATAAGGTACTCGGCATGTTTTCCCACAAGCTTCACCTTCGAAGTAAATTACAATGATGGCTAATACATAAATGTAGCTAGCAACAATCAATGACAAGAACAAAAAGTCCCGCGCATATTTATGGGGGAGAGATTTTAATACGTACAAAATTATGAGGACAGACACAATAAACGATATTTCCTAAATATGTAAACTGTAATGCACATTGTTCATTTTTTACGAAACAGCATTCTTTCCTATGATTTGATTTAATAAGTTTGGAAATTTTTCACAATGGTGTAAAACATTCATGCCGACTTAAAATAACTTGATTGTCAAAAAAGGAATTCTGTATAAAATGGACTAAAAAATATCAAGCTCAGAAAATGGAAAATCATTTCAAATGCAATTTGCACTTACTGTATTTCTGGTTGAATAGTTTTATCACATCACACACCCTGTACTTTCTGACAACCTGTTTTGGAGAATCTATTTAATAAAAAAAAACATTCATAAAGAAATAAAGCCCGTGTAAAATGTATGGAAAGGGAGGAGAGGATTATTCATATATCCAGCTGAGCCCAAGTGATTACATTTGAAAGCAATTTACTTTCAAAAGAAATCCGAAGGGCACAACTGAATAAACATTCTTGGAATAGCACTAATGCTTGAGAAATAATGCACTGGTATTCCAAGACCCACAAGTTTCAGAAAATAACTGTGTAGGTACAGCACTTACCCAAATACTCAACGAAATTGACACCAATTTTTTCATTTTTATTCAAAAAGTTGATTCTTTTTTCTGTTCCAAACTGTTGAAGACAAGAATCACCAGTAAACAAAACTATAAAAATCAACACATCTACAATCTGTTAGATTAAACACTTATCATAATTGCTTTGGCCTTATTTTATGATACGTATACTATTATTTTGTGGGGAAATTAGAGCCCCTCGTACACCCTAATCTATCTAAAGCTATGAGGATTGCAAAATTTCTTACAAAATACTCCCCCTTCACAATCATGACACTGGTCTATCAATGCTAATATTTTCCACAGTAAAATTGCAAACGTAACAAACTGCCAACTTTGTGGATCTGTAACCCAGTAGACTTGGCTAAATTTCATCATTTATTTGCTACTTCTAACAATTCATAACAATCAAAGTAAAAATCATTCTCTTATATCATAATACTGTACATATGTACAGTGGGTAATAACAGCTGTACCTGTGACAAAAGCTGCTTTTTCCCTTTTTCTACTTGGTTTGTGCGCTGCTTAACTGTCAAGTCATGAATGTCATTGCTTTGAACAGCCTTTGCTCTTTCTGCCCAAATCACATGTTCCTCTGCCCCTAACAAGTTCCAGTGGTCTACAGCTAACTTCAACCTCTCAGAATTAGAGGTCAGCTGCTTGCATTCCTCTAAAATTGCAAAATGCATATTTACAAAAGGCATTTAACAACAGAAAGAAAGAAAGTACTCTTTTGGGTTTAAATGACGACTACACAGGTTTTGTCTTGGCACTTTTGGTGGAATCAAGATGATACATATTGTGCAGGCCATAAAAACATACAGTTTATAGATCAGAACCTGAGTTCAGTATATGTGAGCAAAAAAGATTATATGCTGTAGTTCTACGCTTTGAAGGGCACAATCTTAACTCCTCATCTTGATGAGAGCTGGCTTTTCTTTTTCTGGACTGCTTTTCATTCCCAATCCATTTCTAGAAGAAATAACAATAAAAACTTTTTCTTTTTCTTGTAGCTAACCTGGTTAACCAAGGTTATTTACTACATGGTGTATGAACAAACAGAGTACTAACATGAAGCCTTCAAGTTATTTGAAGAATAGGATATGCTAACTTAGTCTAAACAACAAAAAATTATTATGTTAAAAAATATAAATGCTTCTTTGCAAACCAGACAGTAACACAATTTCATTAGAAAATTCTGCAATAAATATGAGCTTAATTCACCAGTAACAGAATTCATTAAGTATGTAACCAAGAACCACCATCTATATGAAACATCTTTCCCAAATTATTCGTAAATTAGGAGAGCCAAAAAAGTAAAAAATGTGACTTATTCCTGCACAAGATAAACATTTTTAGGGACTATTAACCTAATTAATAAGAAAATTTGTTAAGGTATATTAATTTAGGTTTTGCCTTGATCACCTTCAATGGTATGCATCCAATGCAATTAAACCTTTAAAGCAATTATATACATAATAATGGGGTGACTAGCAGAGAGTAGTAATTAGAAAAACACCTCTAGCATTTACAATTTAAGGTAGATTCAACATTATTGAGTCTCCATAAACTGCAAGGATTCTGTCATTCGCAAACTTTCAAAAACATGCAATGAATACAGCATAGTCTGCTCAGTCATTTATTCATGCAACGCAAAATTTCACTTGCTGTGATAACTATGGATTTATAAAAACAATTAATTAATGGTAATATTCTCAAATTTACCTACATTTCAGGATTATTATTTGCAAAATGATAAGGTCCCTGTTTGTTATAGCATGAATCCCAGGCAAGTCTTTCATGGAAAATGGAAACACCAGTGGGCATTAAAAATGTGTTATAGAGAAAATGCACATTTAATCATTTAATTTTTGGAAAACCATTGTTGAGGGAAAATCGAGGGAAAACCATAGATTTTCTGATCATAAGATTTGTGAGAATGTTACAGAATGCCTGCCCTTAAGTTCCAACAAACTCAGAATACTAAGAAAAATTTGTGATCAACAGTCTTGAAGGCATACTCAAAAATAGAAAAATTGCCAAGTTTTCCCACCCCTTTTTAAGATGTACTACCTGTGGCACCTCTATACTATGATATGAATATTATGAAATGAGTATATGAATGTAAATACTATGATCTTATTACTTTTATAAAGGAGAAATTGCATTATTGAAGAAAACTATAGATCGATTTAATGCAAAAAGATATGGTAACCAGTGGTACATACATATTACATCTGACAACAGAGAAAGATAAAAAGCTTGAGAGGGTTGAATACAAATAAAAACAAGATTGTTTTTTATAGTACATAGTAAAAACAAGTGTGAGTAAAAAAATATAATAATTATATGTTTATTAGGCCAAGTTAAAATTTTAACAGTAGAATAAATTTTACAAACATCGTCAGCAAACGTTGCAATTTTCAATTTTCAAGCAATACTAAATATAAACACACTGGTATTGTGCTACAATCAGAAAATAAACCATGCTCTCCCCAATAAAGGGAAAATCCTAAGTATATCTGTTTATATATCTCTGACATCTTGTAAACTGTCTATTATATAAGTTAAGGGTATAATTAGAAGATATAAAATGCACACTATATTTAATGTCAGTTACAGCAACAATAACTAAACCCATCAGATCAAAAAATACTGGCGAAGATTACTCGTTGCTTATGAAAAAGAAAACGCGGGTAAAAAATATAAACTCGTGCATTCTGTTTACCTTGACTCTTTCAAAACGTGATATTAGCTTGGTTCGCAGCTTCTTGGATGACATCCCTCATACTAGCTGCTATTGAAATCATTCCTCGATCATAATAATCCTTCAAGATCTATTTTTGTTCGTCATTTAAAATATCATAAGATGCTGAACGTCGAACGTTTTCCGCCATAGCCAGATCACAGAACAGGAAAATAAAGATGACTAAATAAAGTATTTCATAAATTCGTGAATCCCATACATCAGAATGCGCGGAATGCATTTTATTGACGCTTCGTAACGCATTTCTAAAAATAAGAACTAACGCTTTAAGCGTTTTAGAATTGGTGAAACGGGTGACTGAACGAGTCATTTCAATAAAAAATTATTAAATTATTGCAAAGCATGTTGAGTTATATCACATTGTTCAGTTAAATGAAGAGAAAAATAGTTGAATCATTGCAATATGAATCGAATCATTTCATGACAAGACGAATCATTTCTTAACTTGTCCAATCGATTCAGTAAACGACGTTCAATCATTTCGAAACAGGATGAGTCGTTTGTATTTGTGTTGTATCGTTTCACTTTACGTTGTTTTATTCACATGCACGGTATTTTTGGTGGTAACGTCAACCCACACACATTTGCAACCTGGAAAATATATGTTCCGTTGAAAATTTTCTTAAGTGGAAACGGGTCTTTAGAATTTAAACATAAACGTTAGAATTCACATATAGAATTTTTTGCTGTTGCACCGCATTTGTGTGTCTTTAACAAAATTGTCAAGTGCTTGATTGTGATCAGTAATTATAAAACAAGGCACAACAAGCTCTCTGAATAAAAGCAGAGCCTGTCAGCAGGGGCGGATCCAGAGTATGTCAAATCCGTCGCGCGACTGATGTTTGAAACTCAAAAATTACCTATTCATATTAGTTAAAAATTCATTAATTATTCTTACTTTATTATCGCATTTACTTCGTGATAAAAACACCTCATGTAGAGATGTAGAGGTGTGTTAATCTACGCCTCATACCAGATTGTTTGCCATAAATTCCAAAGGGCTATTGATGTATGAAAAGCATTTTCTATAAAGTAAAAATGTCTTCCTATGTATGCAGATAAACCTTGAAATTTGGCAAAACAGCAAAGTATTTTTCATGATCACTAGGTAAATTTTCCGATGATCATTATAATTTCTAAACTAAATTATTTCAGATTTACATTTAAACGAGCTTTGATCATATGAAAATATATTTATCATAACCAGTAAGCATGACACATGAACCAATTTTAACATTCATGTAATTATATAATTAAAGACATGTTGGTTACATTCTGTTTGTGTTTGATAATACAATGCTACTAGTGATTGCTATATAGCACACCTTGAAGAAGATAATAGTCAAGTGAAATGCCTAATAAACATTTATGGCATTAAGCTGTCCTTAACTGCAAATTTTCAATCTGATAATTTTTGCTTAATCTTGGGCAGAAAAAATTTTTGAGTTTTTTCTCAAAAGGTGAATTTGCTAATACTGATGTGGAGATGGGTAAAAGGTTACAATAAACTTGCATGGTTTGAATTCTGAGCTTTTCTATATCTATGAACTGTCACTTGTAGTACCAAATTTCTAACTTAACTCATTACATAGAGGTTTGAATGGGGGTCTCTAGGGGGTCTATGCCTGACAACTTGGTAGAAATTTTTAAAGGCTATATCTGTTTTGGAATATAGCATTATTGTAAAATAAATTTTACGTTCCTAGACATCCTAACGGCCATATATTTGGTATGATAATGAGCCTAAATATTTGGCAAAACATTCAAGTATTGTTCACTTCATTTTTTTTAAAAGCGTAACCAAAATGTGTTGTATTTACGCAAAAACGATGCCCACAAAATATATTTTGTAATGCTCTAAAACGCTAAAAAAAGCATTTTTAAGGCTCTGAAATTCAAAATTTCTCAGGAAAGATAGCGTCAGACCCCCCCAGGTGCGGAGCGCCTCCGACGTTTTATGACTGATGTTTGAAAAATCCTAGATCCACCCCTGCCTGTGAGCGTTTATCTCTCTATTCATGCTTTCAACAAGCAAAAAAGTAAAAAAATCCAAACGAATAGAGAACAAAAACGAGCAAACGCCAAACGTGGTTTTAAAAGTTATTTTAGTGAAACCGCAAACGACTGGTGCTGAGTCACGTGTGTTGTGTTTTGTTACTTTTGTAGTCCAGCGATTCTCTAGCAGGAAACTGAGGGAGAAGGCAAAGATAGAGGTTGCAGAAATAAAAGCTGTCATAAAATAAGGTTCTATTTAAACGTGGCATTGCTGGACA